TTAGAAAAGAAAAGGCACAAAGGTATCTTCTATCATCACTTTGGGACAAATGACTTAATGGATAAGAAGTCGTTTAGCTTCAAACAGCTCTGCCATTGCCAAGAATAAGAGTGCGTATTTCATTGTGGATCTTTCTCCCCTTCTCCCTGTTCTCATTCCAGCTACAGTAAAACACAGTATCCTGCTTTGCTTTCACACTTACCTCAGAGTGCACAGTCTTAAAAGTTAAAAGGAACCTGAGAGGTTAAGAAGAAGAAAAAAAATGGCCCTTACCGAAATTGTTTTACATCACAGGCAATTCATTTTATAAAACCCACAATAAAATTTTTCATTACTCAGAGAATAGGCACATAATTATAGGGACAAATTAACCTTGTTAAATGTGAAGTCTGGGGTAGGGAATGGTGGAGGAACAATTTGGCTCTCCCCTGTAACAATGTGGTCTTTAATGTTCAGCTTTTTATCTGCTTTGTGTGTTGATTTCATCCAGAGGTGAGTCATCTGCTGGGCTGTGCTTCCAGGACATGGCATAGAGATAGTGGTGCATGGACAAATAAACACAGCATGTGTATAAGGTCTCCACACAGACACATGGTTGCTATACAAACAGACAGTTTGTCCAATGCAACACCCTGAACCTTGTGATTACTTTCACCTACACTATTATCTTTGAAGTAAATCTAAGAAGCAATGAGCCACTTTTTCCTGATTCCGCTCTAAGATTTCCTCCTTGTGAATTTGGGTCTCCACTATTTTGGCCCCAAAGGTATCCAGGCAGAGTAACTTTGATGAACCAGTTTGAGACTCTGGGAGGTTGAAAAAGCCAGCAATAAGCCCATAAAATGGCCCATTTTACTTTCTGGAGTGTCTAGAGTATCTGACATGCAATCATGGGTCTCTACCACCCCAAAATACAAAATAGCACTCTCTACAATCATTGTGCCTAATGAAACAGACACATTCTCACTTTGCAAATTGCAAATGGCTAAGAACTGAATCAACTTCCACGTAAAAACAGACAAACAAAAAACAACAACAACAAAAACAGCAGCCAATCTCATCTCTCGTAGCCACACCTTCCATTAACAAAAGCCACCAGCAGGCAGGAAAGTTAGTGCCAGTGAAAGATGGTCACGTAACCTGCATCCTGTGAGTTGCTATTTATTAGCAGGGGTTGATGCCAGGAGACAGAGCCCTGTGGGTCAGAACTCCTGAGCCGTATTTTTCCAGTGGTCAGCATAATGGCAGGGAGGAAATAGGGTGATAAACCAGATGTTCCCAAGATAAGCCAGATGTTATCAAGCCAAGAAGTCTAAAACAACTGTGCTTCAATGAAGTGTGTAGATGAGTACACACCACACACACACACACACACACACACCACACACCATACACACACACATACACACACACACGCACACACACGACAACACTATTTAGTCTCCCTGCAAGATAAGCTGGCAGTAAAGGCTGGAAATAAAGCAGCACACAGGCTGGGTCAGATTGTTGCTTCCTGATTTGTGACTCTCCAAGATGAACATCTAAGTGATTTATACCCAGAATTTGGAATTTTGTGGTAGACTACAAATGCAAAGATAAGTACAACATAAATTTTTAAAATACTCCATAAGTCTCCATGAGTTTCAACATTCCTCAATGTTCTTATGTTACAGCCAATTATCTCTCCACTTAAATGGCTATTATTTTCTTACTTGAAGTCTATGTTCTCTGAAAGTGTCATTACCAAGTGTGGCAAAAATCTGGCTGTGAGCCGTAAATTTAATTTAAATGACAAACATTTATTGATTGCAAATTGGAAATTCCAGAAATCTTATAAAAGTGATTATTGTGAATTAATTCAGCCCTCCCACATAACAAAAAAGAACTTATTCTTCCAATGATTAAATTAAGGTGAGGTTGTTTATACATGCATTTTTTTTCTTGTCTATTTGTTTTGTTAAAATTCCAAGAGGTTTGCCATTCACAGAAAAGTCTGTCTGACCACAGGCACAGACAGAAGCAGGAATTCATTACCATGGAAGGCTGCAGAATTTCCTCCAAGGAGACAAGTGAAAAAAAGCAGACACCACATAAATTTGTGGATTGGGTTAAATATGTTCTGTCCCTGCGGCAGTGAGGAGTGAGGAGATAGAGGGCCCCTTTGTAAAATGACTCACGAATCTAGGAAGTACTTCAGCTCCTAAAGGTGAGCAGAAGCCTAACCAGGGACAAAGTTCTGCTTCTCTTTGGAATATCTTTGAGTTAGCATTCCTTGCCACCTCTCTGTGAATCCTAACTCAGAGTTATCAGGGCTGATGGAATTTTCCTTCAAGGTGCTTTGAATCTGTTCCCTGAATGCTACCCACTCTGTTATCACCTTGTCCCTTCCCCGTACCTGTATCACATTGGGTTTGGAATGCAGCAGGGCCTGCTCTCTGATTTTCCATATTTCCTACTTGCCTAGATCTCTTAAGCATTATCATTCTTAAATACCACCTCCAATATTTTGATCTCCTGCTAAAAACCTTTAATGACATCCTACTTTCTACCATGCAGACTCTAAACATTTCCAACTGGGGTCTCATGGCCCACCGTAATTTTGTACCTACTTTACATCCAAACTTACTGCCCCTACTTCTGTGTTCCCATTAATACACATTTTACTTTGAGTAAACACTTCACTCTTATTCTTTTAAAAGTCTTTGTGAATTTATTCTTGCTGTTTATGTCCTCAGCTAGAAATATACATACATACACACACACATATATACATGCATATATGCATATGTGAGCTTGCAATGTTTGCAAATTGCAAATATATATATACATATATATATGTAGGTATATATATATATATTCCTATGTAGGTACATATATATACATATACATGAATATACAGTCTTATATTGTTTTCCAATTGCTAAGAATACAAACAAAGGAATATACTTGTATATACGAATACACAGTCTTACATGGTTTCCTAATTGTTTTACGTTTGTTCATTTTGCCTCCCAAACTAGATTTAAAGTCCTTTAGGACACAAACTTTCTTTTGTGCTTTGTATATAATCTTGACATTACCTAACTCAGTTCATACCATCAATAAACACATGGAAATCATCTTATTCCTTATGATACAAATATTCATTGAGTTCTCACTTTTTGCTGTTTTTCTAAGAAAATGTCTAGAAAAATGTCAGTGAACAAGACTGGCAGATTCCCTGCTCCCTAAATGCTCATGGTCTGTTGAACTACTGCCAATATTTGTTATTTTAACTTTTTGATAGGTACATAATAAATGCCCACTTTTTGCAAAATTTAGAGTATAACTGAAAGCCAAATGAAGAAATGTAAAGTATCTATATTCCAACTGGAATAATCAAGTAGTCTTGAAAGCTTCCACATTCATTTCCTTGATGCCATATAGCAGGAAAATTTACACACAAATACAAAACCACTACTCATTCTTTTCTGCTACAAAGTTCACAGTCTCAGGCTTCCTGAGAGTTCTAGCAATGACCAAACATGAATGCTGGCTGGCTACAGCTGTGAGAGTCCTTTTCTCCCCATCAGCAAAGGCAGGCCTCAGAACCTATCACAAGTAATGACCTAGAGACAACTGCATTCTCACTTGCCATCATTCTAACAAACCCCAAGTAGCTTCATTCAGAAGTAACAGATGAATGAATGAAAGATGCCCATTCAGTTGTATCATGGAGGCATTAAAGCAGGTGTTAAAATAAATCAGGGACAAGGTTGCCCACAGTGACCCAGAAAGGCCAATATGCTATTTAAACTAACCCCATGCCATCCATCTTTACACACTGCTGTGCTGTAAAAGTAGTCCTTTATTCTCCTCCTTCAAACAATGCACAAAGGCAACAGAGGGAAGGAAGTTATGTTGCAATATTCTGAAACATAAATCTTGCTACCAGCCGGTCCAGGGACAGCATCCTGTTTTCCCTACACATGGATCAGATTCAGTGAAGGCTGTTACCTCTAAGTCTTTAGCCCTGTTTTTTTTTAAAGTGGCTTCTGAATCGTACCTGGTCACAAATCCGAACACAGGTTGCATAAGCAGAGAACACTCTGTGTCCAGTTACTCAACCAAACATGTGCCATTGCATGTCCCCACCCCTCTGCCCCCACTCAGAATTCCCTTTCTCAAATTGTGACATTCACTTTCATTCTTTATCATTATTAAGTTTGTGATGCTAAATAAAAATTAAACTTGGATTCAAACATATGGAAGAAACAAAAGGAAGAGATACATAATTTACTCTCAACATTTTAAGACTCTGACACTCTATTATATACCCCTAAATCCCACTTTCTGCTGTGATGAGAATTCAGAGAGCCGAGGGCCAGTTTCCAGTGGTGTCATTGACGTGCTACTTGAGTCAGGGAAAAGCATTTAACTACTCAGTGCCTGATTTTATTCTGGGAATCCAAAGTAGATAATGCTTGTTATTGTCAGATTAGAGACGGCAGAGCCCGTGACTGTTTAACTTGCTCAAGTACAAGGCCTTCTCAAATGTGATGAGGCAGGGCTTTGCAAATTGGAAGAAGGTGAGTGCAGGTGAAAAGTCCACTGTGAGTGTCTGGCCCTGGGAAAGCGCTTCTCTGAAATGCGGCTTTGGGAGAAGCAACACAAACCTGTGGCCGCAAAAGAGTTATTTGGTTACATACGAACCTTCTTCACAGGGGAAGACCCAATCTTAGAATGTCACCTCTGCCCAAAACACACTTTCCTTTCGCATTATAGAGAAGATGTATGAGTTTAACACTAGAGGGCAAAGGGTGGAGGCGACATCGTGCCATGTAATGCTCCTGAAGCTGCCACTGTGGGTAACCACATTGCCACATATGACCTTACCCTTTGCCTAGATAAAGAATGGGCTCTGTGACATCAGAGAAAACTGTTATGGGAACTTACCTAAACAGTCACTTTTGCCCTCTGACACTAAGAGAATACCTGACATAATAGTCCTGGAGCCCCAGGCGTGTCGATACCGCTAAATGACTTCTCATTCTTTATATCCAGTACCTTACTATGTCTTCTCTCAGAAATCTCACCAATTAATCTTTAGTAATTTATAAGGGGGAATTTTGTGACTTTTTTTAAAAACAGGGTGTTTCAACCTCAGCGCTTTTTTCACTGGAGGCTGAATCATGTTTTGTGGTGGGAGCTGTTCTGCATGTTGTAGGATGTTTGCGAGCATCCCTAGTCTCTAGTCTCTACTCAGTAAATGCTCGTAGCATCAGATTGTCTCCAGTGGTAGCCACCAAACATGCCTCCAGACACCGTCAAATGTCCCGAGTTGGGGTGTCGGGGGGAGGACTAAAATTGCCTTTGGTTAAGAATAAATGGTTTAAAATGACCTAACGAGAGACTAAATTAAATGAACTTTTTGTTTTAGAGTCCTGCCTGAAAATAATTTTATTAGTGTGGAATATGATACAGGGAAACAAAAAGGACAGCATTGCATAGATTACGCATCTACATGTAGATAATTAACTAGATGCTGAACCAAGTCTCCTGAAAGTACAAATGTGAAGTACCTCTCACAAGTACCACAATACAAAATACAGGGACATAAAGGTTATGGAGAACGTTGCATTTTTTTTAAAGTAGTCCTGCCAGAGAGGCATTGACTCCTTTGCCATCTCCCCCACCTCTAAGTTATTCTCTAGCCTCTACAAAATGCATGGCATTCACCTGATATGGAATAGCTGATTTTTAGATAAGAGGTCTATAGAGATGGACATTTTTTTAAAGCACTATTTATTTAATGCAGCATGACTTAGAATGGGCCTGTAACCTGACAAGTGTACTGAGTGAGGAATGTTCAATTTACCAGTTCTAACTGGCCAAGTCCTCACATGAACTTTCTAAGACCTGGCTGAGAAGCCTGGGAAAGCGGAATTAACCACAATCTTCAGTGTTTCCTCCACCTTGTTCTGTCTCCCCAGTCCTAACTCTACTACCTTAAGCATTCTTCCAAAACCCACTTAATCTCCAGAGGTATTACAAAATCTCAGCCATCGGCAGAACCTACAGCCATCTCAGCTCACCAGCTAACTACCTCCATGCCAACCAACACTGAAAGGAAAGATTCTGTTCTATTTTTAAATATATTGAGCAAAGAAGCAGCTTGATATGTCTTTGTAAAGGATGGCTGTCACCCAAATTCATAGGTTCTCTGTTTTCAACAAGGATATAGACTTTGAAGTCCAATAAATTTGGGGTTCAAACTCCAGGTCTTTATTGTCAACTGTGTGATTTGGGGAAAATCAAATAACCTCTCTGAGTTTCAGTGTCTGCATATGTAAAACAGGAATGATAGTAACAGGACCTAATAAAAGGTTGTTTACAAAGATAAGTGAGATGACATGTATTAAGCATGAGTATTCTAAAATGTTGGCCATTACTATTATTGTTATCAACATGAATAGATTTATCATTCACTCCTGATTCCACAATCATTTATTCAGCATGTGTTATGTGCTGGGTTCAAGAAAAACTCAATTAATATTTTAAAATTGGCTTTCTCAAGACTTGGATTTCAACCAAATAACTTTGAAGTATAAGAAATGTCTTAGCAGGTGGAAAACGAAGTCTGGCACACAGTAGGTGCTCAGAAAACATTAGATGATGATGATGATGATGATGATGGTGCTCACAGTTGTGATAAAAGAAACTAGCTGATTTGTCAATCTTCATTTAATTCACTTGCCAGAGTACTCACTAAATGTTTGCTCCTATAAAAAATCATGTATTTTCAAGTCAATGATTACTGATCTTGTGGGAAAGAATTTCTCTTCTCAAAGTAACACTTTAATAGGAATAGATTAACATTCTTTATTATAGGGTAGGCTTATAATAAGAGTCCAGAGTCAGGGAGGTAATTCTTGCTACTGAAAAGTAAATGAAATTTGACTGATTTATAAGTATAGAGTAGATTAGCCAGGTTTAGAAATTCCCATTATATAAAGAAATTAGAGATATGAACCAAAATTGAATTAATAATAATAATAAAAAGAGTTCATCTAATTAGTAAAGCAAATAAAGATAGACATCTACCCCCTTGGTTTAAAAAAATGCCTTCTTATTTATGAATTTATATGAGGTGCCATTTATTGCTCATTATCTTTCTATGGGAAATAGACAGGAATAAACAGGTTTAGACTTTTGTTCTTCCTTGTCACTAATTCTTTCACAACCCCTTATTATTTCAACAGAGTTTAACTCACTCAGTTGTTGATTCTTAGTCCCTTAAGTCTTTAAAGAAATAAAATAAAATAAAAATAAAACATATGTTTCCAAACTCTGTTTTTCCATAAGTTAGAAAGTATGTAAAAGTCTTTTGATGACAGCAAAGTAAGAACCCATGATGTGTTCAGGCCTATTAGCATGGTACTCTGGCCAAAGCCAAAGTCAATGAAAAATTAATTTTTCCAAAGGATGTCCTTACCTCAAATATGTTTGAAGGCTCATTGTTGTACTGATTGGATATTATTTCTGATTGGTCACTGCACCACTTGAGTCCACCCAGAAAGCTGTCTGTATCCAAGTCATTCACATCTAGTTCAGAAAGATCAAGTTCAGGAAGATCTGGGCAAAGAGGCTGGTCTTCACCAACCAGAGCAGCACACTGCAGGAGGCAGAAAAAAAAAAAAAAAAAAAAAAAAAAGCTTCTATTAACCACAGGAATTTATTAAACTGCAATAGCATGTGATAGGAATTAAGCCTAGTTAATGCAACGACATCACCAAAGCTAGTCTCTGGGACTTTAATCACCAGGAAAAATATCCTCAAATCTTTACTCACTTGGTTCCTGAAGGATAATTTCCCTGATTTATTCCATCCAAAATTCTACCTTCAAACACATGGTAAATACCATGCTCCCATGAAGCTTCCTCTGATTCTTCCAGTTAGAAATCAACTATATACCTTTGTACAAAATTCTTGGTACCTGTTGGATAGTTACTGCTTCTAAAGTTTCAGATTGTCTTATGGTTAGCCATAATACAAACTTGATTTTACCTTGGAAATTCCATCACACATAATAGACTCTCAATAAACGATTGCTAAATGGAAAAAGAACAAAGAAATCTCACTAGGAATAAATTTCTCCATTTACACTCCTTTTAAGCATTAGAATTCATATAATTCATTTGGAAACTAATGATGCAAAGCCCTTTGACTCATCTATGGTTCTCCTGAATTGTTATTTATAATCATTTACTCTTACTTGACTCTTCATGACTTTTTGGACTTCATCCTTAACAGGCAAAAGCAAGTTCCTTGAAATAAAGGACAAAAATCATATTTTTTTCTATATGGCTTTTGTATGTAACTCGCAAGTTTGTGTGTGTGTGTGTGTGTGTGTGCACATGTGCGTATGTGTGTGTATGGCTGGGATCACTTAGTACTTGGAAAAGAAAACTCACAATAGCGCATCATGACTATATATTGTTTATTATTTATGTATATCTAAACTGTGCTCTAAGTGAATTCAAGATAACTGTTTTTGTTTATAGAGTTTTAAAATATTTTTTATATATTGAGAGGTTTAAAATATCTTCTACCGTGGCTGGGCAGCTTATCACCAAAATTATTTTTAATTGTCAAAGTCTTTCACCCCATTACATGGAATACACAGTCTTTTTAACTGTTTCACCAGGTGGCTTTTGGAGGCAAGTGGACTCCCCTTACCGATAAGGTGGTCACCTAAACTTGCACTGACTTCCTTACTGCTAATATTAGTCTGCAGATAGTAAGAAACACTGCAGGAACTCCTATTGCAGGGGTCTGGCATTGGCAGATCAGTAACGATTTTATCCACCTGTGAGTTGGGGCGTCTAAATCAGGAGGCACACACTGACGTAGCACCTTCATGGCCCCACCTTCCAAGGTCAGGAGAGATGCTGTGGAATTGTTCACATCCAGGCAGCAGTTAGGCATAAAGCGAAAGATGCTCCTTGACATTTACATTTTGAATGAAATAAGTTTTATGCAGATTTTCTTTCTCAAGCACCCCTGTTATCCGTGGCAGGGATTCATAGCAGGCCACATTACACAGGTCATACGCAGCAGCGTGATCAGAAGCAACACGCTGAGAAGTAAGTACTGGGTAATGGAGTCAGCAGTTGGTAAGGGGAGCATGGGGGAGACTAAAAATCATCGCCATCCTTCTTTAATATCATTGGGCCCCACTGAGATCTCTGGCAGCGGGCACAAGGGAATGCAAAGGAAGGGCCTTCCTCGCCATCAAAACTCTTTCCTTATCATTTTATTGGTCTTTCCTTTTATTTTCTGAGTTAGCCCAAAGTTACAGATCAGTGTACTTGACAAGGTTTATAAGTAAGTGGAGGCTGGGCTGAAGAGATCTCGTTCTGGTACAATGCTCATATTTGGTTGCGGGTGTAACACTTCCCAGACTCCATTCTTGCCCACACAGCTTATCCTCCAAGCACCAAGACACGATCTTAACTTTTCCTCAATGTGACCAATTCAGAGATAGGGGGAGAACTTTTTCAATGGTGCAAGATACACTAGAATTTTATAGGAGGATAGTCTTTAAAAAAAAACAAAACACAACAAAAATAGCAACACAAAAGTAAAAATACTCAAGAAAATGTAGGCTCTCCATGTATGGCTTAAGTTCCTGTTGTGAAACTTAGGAAGCAACCATGTTTTGGAATGCTACAGTGGCATCCCCTGACTTGTGGACAACTTCTTGTTGTCCCTCTCTTTAACTGCCGTCTTTGGCATGACTTGTTCAGAACCTTTTAACCTTCCAGGAATATGTATTTTAAAATAACTTTTGAAAACCATTGAACAGAATGAGGTCAATTTATTGTATTGGTGCTATCTTGTCATTTACATATTCCTTTCCTTCCTCTCACTTGTGCTTTCTCTCTCTCTCCCTCGCTCTCTCTTTTTGCTTTTATGGTATGGTTGAGAAAAGTGAGTGTGCTCTTGCCAATGTTGACATGCTAATAAAATCTATGCTTCTGAATGTGGCATTATCCTGCTAATCTAAAACACATTAGTGGTAGCAAGTGTTCCTGTTATTAATTTCTATTTGGCCTTTGGACGATGCCAGACTTAACAGTCCGAGCCCTGTAACTGTCCTCATCTGACATGCTGATATTTACTGTTTCCCTACACATCTGTAACAGGTGTGGTTTATTGCAATTACACAGACACATTCTACTGCCTCTTTGCAACTATGACAGCTATTTCACAACTGTAGCCTCAATTTTATAACAAGATTTAAGAGGATAAAGCAGTCACTAAACACAAAAAGCTAATTATTATATGTTATTTCACCCCAACAGACTTTTCTCTTAGTTAAGGAGCAGACAATAAATTAGCTTAACTGCACTGATGATAATGAATCATTATAATTAAGTATAATTCTCTATTAACCTTTTGGAGGTTTTTGTGCCATTGATGGTAAATTTTAAAGAGAGAGAGGAGAAGGAGTGGACTTGGCCACATTAATTATATTAATGAAAAAAGAAACTTAGTTCTTAAAAAAATTAGTTGAGGCAGGGGAAAGGGGGTGGAGAGAGGGGCAGTAAAGAATGACAGGCTGAGTGGAGTGTATGTCATGTGAATTGTCTCTATCAATCTTAGTAACCTTATTGTACGTCACCTTCATTAAACTGTGAAACATGGGGCACTCCAAGTAGCTATAGTGATATAGGCCTTTATTAACCAATGTGCTGTCCTGTCATTATGTGCAAAAGGGCATAATACGTTTTAGGATGGCAGCAAACATTAATGATTCAAAAAATGAAAACTGCCTGTGCTACCTGCTGCTCGTAATATTTTAGACTGGCAGGGGTGATTCCCAGAGCCGCTGCCATGTAGGCAAAGCTTCTAGCAGCTAGCTGCCTGTAGTGCAACAGAGCAGTGACTGGCCCAATCTCAGCTGACTGGCGACTCCATCCACAGCCGGACAAGTAGCCAAGACCTCTCCTCTTTAAGAAAAAAAATTTAAAGGCCACTGTATTCTAAATGCTTCTGATGCTTATTTGAAAATAACTGCAGGAATTCCAATGATTAAAATAAATCTTCCTTATTTCCATATGATCTAGTTCCTCAATCAACTCCTAGCAGCATCAGGAATAATACATGATGGAAAAATGAAACTACAGCAGCTGAGACCCACAGTGCCAGCCAGACAACCACCCACAGGACACTCCGGCTACTCAAAGACAATTAGGACTTTGAAGCTACTTATAACCCTGACTCATAATGGCTACAGGGCATATGAATTATCCATATCTATTCCACCTTACCAAGAAATCGGAACAAGATAACAATTACAATCCACAAATACGATCTACCAAGGCAAGGGAGGGCAAATGGAGCCAACATTTGCAAACCCAGCAAAGAGTTGAGAATCCCGGGCATGCCTCGCTAGATAGGAAAAATGCATCCACAGACGGCCTTGGCTAAATTATTTTCACTCAGATGTGTATCGCTACACCACATGGACACCTTATTTAATCAAATCACGTGTGGGCTTGATCCTCCCCCTTACCCTACGTGCCCCCAGCTACCCAGAGGAAACACTCGCAGTCTTTTGCCAGATTCATTGTTAGCAGCTGGGATCCTCCATGCAATTCAATTCGAGTCCATCTCACCAGAGTCCACAGAAAGTTTCGCTTGTTTCCCAAGTTGCCCAAACTTTCCTTCCGAGAACACTCCATTGTGCTGAATGCAAACACGCCGAGGTCCTCCGTCCCCCCACTAGAGTCCAGAGATTACGAGGAAACTGCTTGCGTTATTCTCCCCCCTGTATGAATTGTAGCCAGCAGAGACTGTGGAATTGATGTATTGCCGTCTATTTTTACACAAGCAGCGAGCAGCTCCACACACAGTCCTGCATAAACTCTATTCTCTCTCGGCTTCAGGCAGCTCTCCGTGGTACAGGAAGATTTAACCATTGGCTTCCCTGCCACCGACGCAAACGGAAAACCTTGCACTGCAAGGCATTTTTTTATTCGCTGGCCAAATCTTTCAACCACGCATAGGAGTTTTAAAGGAAGCAGCATCGTTGTTTTGTGTTCTCTGGGAAAAGCAATCTAAAATAGCCCAGCAGGATTATTTAGGATTTTGTAAGTTCTCTGTCTAATGAACAGAGAGAGAGGGGAAAAAAAAATCCGGACTAGAGTCAAAACGGACTATATTTGAACACATCCATTTTAATATTTTTATCTTCGTCTTATTATAAATAGAAATGGCATTTTTCCAACCAGGCCACTAAACACCACTGGAAAGACTTCAGCTTCTGATTCATATCAATATCTTAGAGCATAAATATTGCATATGAGTAGAAGCAGCGCCAAAGTCACATGGAAAGAGTTTCTAACTGCAACAGATACTGATGACAGCAGCTAAGCTTTGATTTGCTCAAGGCATCTCAGAGCCACCTTAAAATAGCAAACTTATTGGAGTTAAGATAAGATTGAGATTCCCTTGTAAAAGCTCCTGCCTGGACTACTTTCCTGCCTCCTCTGCTTGCCCAAGCCCATCCCCCCTTACAGGAATAATAGCATCTGAGGGAAGCGTCAGTCCTGGCTGCAGCGCGGAGCCCTGCCCCAGCTCACCTCGATGTCACTCCATACAGACTCA